TCTTTGGTAATTCATAATAATCATTCATATATTATAGTCGATTCTGTAATTCTCTCTTTCTTTCTTTCTTTTTTCTTTTCATTATAATAATCATTCTGTCCAATAGTCCTTTAGTAATTCATTGCTAACCTTCATATATTATAAGTCTTCTGCATCTCTTTCTTTCTTTCTTTCTTTTCATTATAATAATCATTCTGTCCAATAGTCTTTGGTAATTCTTAGTAACCTTCATAATATAGTCTTCTGCATCTCTTTTTCTTTCTTTCTTTCTTTTCTGCTTTCTTTCAATAGTCTTTTTTCATGGTAACCTTCATATATTATAGTCTTCATCTCTTTCTTTCTCAATCCTTCTTTCTTAATTCATAATAATCATTCTGTCCAATAGTCTTTGGTAATTCATACTAACCTTCATCTATATTATAGTCTTCTTTCTTTCTTTTCTTTCTTTCTTTTCATTACAATAATCATTCTGTCCAATAGTCTTTGGTAATTCTTGGTAACCTTCATATATTATAGTCTTCTGCATCTTTCTTTCTTTCTTTCTTTTCATTATAATAATCATTCTGTCAATAGTCTTTGGTAATTCATGGTAACCTTCATATATTATAGTCTTCTTCTGCTTTCTCTTTCTTTCTTTCTTTCTTTTCTTTTCATATAATAATCATTCTGTCAATAGTCTTTGGTAATTCTTGGTAACCTTCATATATTATAGTCTTCTTCATCTTTTCTTTCTCTCTTTCTTTTTTCTTTCTTTCTTTTCATTATAATAATCATTTCTGTCCAATAGTCTTTGATAATTCATTGTCTTCCTTCATTTCTGTATAGTCTTCTACATCTCTTTCTTTCTTTCTTTCTTTCTTTCTTTTCATTATAATAATCATTCTGTCCAATAGTCTTTTGGTAATTCATGGTAACCTTCATATATTATGATATTTCTCTTTTTTCTTTTTTTTTCTTTCTTTTCATTATAATAATCATTCATCAATAGTCTTTTGGTAATTCATGGTAACCTTCATATATTATAGTCTTCTTCATCTTTCTTTCTTTCTTTCTTTCTTTCTTTCTTTCTTTTCATTATAATAAATCATTCTGTCCAATAGTCTTTGGTAATTCATAGTAATCTTCATATATTATAGTCTTCTACATCTCTTTTTTCTTTCTTTCTTTCTTTCTTTCTTTCATTATAATAATCATTCTGTCAAATAGTCTTTGGTAATTCATGGTAACCTTCATATGTTATAGTCTTCATCTCTTTCTTTCTTTCTTTCTTTTCTTTTCATTATAACCAATCATTCTGTCCAATAGTTTGGTAATTCATGTTAACCTTCATATATTATAGACTTCTACATCTCTTTTTTCTTTCATTCTTTCTTTTTCTTTCATTTAATAATCATTCATCCAATAGTCTTTGGTAATTCTTGGTAACCTTCATATATTATAGTCTTCTGCATCTCTCTTTCTTTTTCTTTTCTTTCTTTCTTTTCATTATAATAATCATTCTGTCAATAGTCTTTGGTAATTCATGGTAACCTTCATATATTATAGTCTTCTACATCTCTTTCTTTCTTTTTTTCTTTTCTTTCTGTCCAATAGTCTTTTTTCGGTAGCCTTTATATATTATATCATCTCTGCTTTTCATTCTTTTCTTTCTTTTCATTATAATAATCTTTGTCCAATAGTCTTTGGTATTCATGGTAACCTTCATATGTTATAGTCTTCTGCATCTCTTTCTTTCTTTCTTTTTTTTCTTTCATTATAATAATCTATTCTGTCAATAGTCTTTGGTATTCATAGTAGCCCTTCATATATTGCAGTCTTCTGCATCTCTTTTCTTTCTTTCTTTCTTTCTTTTCATTATAATAATTTTCGTCAATAGTCTTTGGTAATTCTTGCCAACCTTCATATATTATAGTCTTCTGCATCTCTTTCTTTCTTTCTTTCTTTCTTTTCATTATAATAATCATTCTGTCAATAGTCTTTGGTAATTTGGTAATTCATATATTATAGTCTTCCTGCAACCTTTCATTTCTTTCTTTCTTTCATTATAATAATCATTCTGTCCAATAGTCTTTGAATAATTCATAGCCCAGCCTTCATATATTATAGTCTTCTGCATCTCTTTCTTTCTTTCTTTCTTTCTTTTCATTATAATAATCATTCTGTCAATAGTCTTTGGTAATTCATACTAACCTTCATTTGTTATAGTCTTCATCTCTTTCTTTCTTTCTTTCTTTCTTTCTTTCTTTTCTTTCTTTCTTTTTCATTATAATAATCATTCTGGTAATTCTTTGGTAATTCAAGTAACCTTCATATATTCTTAGGCGTCTGCATCTCTTTCTTTCTTTCTTTTCTTCTTTTCATTATAATAATCATTCTTCAATAGTCTTTGGTAATTCTGGTAACCTTCATATGTGTAGGCGTCTCATCTCTTTCTTTCTTTCTTTCTTTCATTCTTTTCAACCTAATAATCATTCTGTCCAATAGTCTTTGGTAATTCATGGTAACCTTCATATATTATAGTCTTCTGCATCTCTTTCTTTTCTTTTTTCTTTCTTTCTTTCTTTTCATTATAATAATCATTCTGTCCAATAGTCTTTGGTAATTCATGGTAACCTTCATATATTATAGTCTTCTGCATCTCTTTCTTTTTTCTTTTTTCTTTTTCTTTTTCATTATAATAATCATTCTGTCCAAGTCTTTGGTAATTCATAGTACCTTCATATATTATAGTCTGCCATCTCTCTTTTCTTTCTTTCTTTCTTTCTTTCTTTCTTTTCATTATAATAATCATTCTGTCAATAGTCTTTGGTAATTCTAGTAACTTCATATATTATAGGCTTCTCTCTTTCTTTCTTTCTTTCTTTCTTTCTTTTTTTTATAATAATCATTCTATCCAATAGTCTCTGGTGAAATTCATGGTAACCTTCATATATTATAGTCTTCCAACTCTCTTTCTTTCTTTCTTTCTTTCTTTTCATTATAATAATCATTCTGTCCAATAGTCTTTGGTAATTCATAGTAACCTTTCATATAATATAGGCTTCTGCATCTCTTTCTTTCTTTCTTTCTTTTCTTTTCATTATAATAATCATTCCTATCCAATAGTCTTGTATTCATGGTAACCTTCACCACTTAGTCTTCAACATCCTCTTTCTAGCTTCTTTTTTCTTTCTTTTTTCATTATAATAATCATTCTGTCAATAGTCTTTTGTTGATTCCTTGGTAACCTTCATATGTATAGTCTTCCCCATCTCTTTCTTTGTTTCTTTCTTTCTTTTCATTATAATAATCATTCTGTCCAATAGTCTTTGGTAATTCATGGAAACCTTCATATATTATAGTCTTCTGCATCTCTTTCTTTCTTTCTTTCTTTCTTTCTTTCTTTTCATTATAATAATCATTCTGTCCATAGTCTTTGGTAATTCTGGTAGCCTTCATATATTATAGTCTTCTGCATCTCTTTCTTTCTTTCTTTCTTTCATTATAATCATTCATCCAATAGTCTTTGGTAATTCGTAACCTTCATATATTATAGTCTTCTACATGTCTTTCTTTCTTTCTTTCTTTTCTTTTCCATTCTGTCCAATAGTCTTTGGTAATTCCTTGGTAACCTTCCTGCATATTATAGTCTTCTACATCCTACCTTTCTTTCTTTCTTTCTTTTTCATTATACTAATCATTCTGTCAATAGTCTTTGGTAATTCATGGTAACCTGGTAACATATTATAGTATTATAGTCTTTCTTTTTGCTTTCTTTCTTTTCATTATAAGCCGTCCATTCTGTCAATAGTCTTTGGTAATTCCTTGGTAACCTTCATATCTCTTTCTTTCTCTTTCTTTGTTATAATCTTCTACATCTTTGGTTTCTTTCTTTCTTTCTCTTTTTTTTTCTTTCATACTAATCATTCTGTCCAATAGTCTTTTGGTAATTCATGGTAATTCATAGTACCAATTCTTTCTTTCTTTCTTTCATTATATTATAGTCTTTTCTGCACCGCCTTCATATATTATAGTCTTCCTTCTTTCTTTCTTTTTTCTTTCTTTTAATTAATCATTCATTCTGTCCAATAGTCTTTTAATTCATGACTTCATATGTAATCTCTTTCTTTCTTTCTTTCTTTCTTTTTTCTAATAATATTCCAATAAGTCTTCTGCATCTCTTTCTTTCTTTCTTTTCTTTCATTTTCTTTTCATTATAATAATCATTCTGTCCAATAGTCTTTTCTTTCTTTTCATTATGGTAACCTTCATATATTATAGTCTTCATCTCTTTCTTTCTTTCTTTCTTTCTTTCTTTTTTCATTATAATAATCATTCTGTCCAATAGTCTTTGGTAATTCATGGTAACCTTCATATATTATAGGCGTGCCATCTCTTCTTTCTTTCTTTTCTTTTCTTTCATTCTTTTCATTATAATAATCATTCTGTCCAATAGTCTTTGGTAATTCATGGTAACCTTCATATATTATAGTCTTTCATCTCTTTCTTTTCTTTCTTTCTTCTTTTTCATTATAATAATCATTCTGTCAATAAATTCATTCATATATTATAGGCATCCATCTCTTTCTTTCTTTCTTTCTTTTCTTTCATTCTTTTCATTATAATAATCATTTCTGTAGTCTTTTGGTAATTCATAGTAACCTTCATATATATTATAGTCTTCATCTCTTTCTTTTTCTTTCTTTCTTTCTTTCTTTTCTTTTATAATAATCATTCTGTCCAATAGTCTTTGGTGCTTAGTAACCTTCAATCTTTCTTTCTTTCTTTCTTTCTTCTTTCATTATAATAATCATTTCAATAGTCTCTGGTAATTCTCTTGGTAGCCTTCATAAGTCTTCAACATCTTTCTTTCTTTCAACAACAACTTTTCTTTATTATAATCAGTCCAATAGTCTTTGGTAATTCATAACCTTTTCATAATATTATAGACTTCTTTCTTTCTTTCTTTTTTCTTTCTTTTCATTATAATAATCATTCTGTCCAATAGTCTTTGGTAATTCATGGTAACCTTCATATATTATATACATCTCTTTTCTTTTGCATCTCTTTCTTTCATTCTTTCTTTGGTAATTTAACCTCATTTTCTTCTACATCTCTTTCTTTATTTCTTTCTTTCTTTTCATTATAATAATCATTCTGTCCAATAGTCTTTTGGTAATTTGGTAATTCATATATTAACCTTCTTTCTCTTTCTTTCTTTTTCTTTCTTTTATATAATATATTTCTGTCTTCTACATCTTTTTTCTTTCTTTCTTTTCATTATAATAATCATTCTGTCCAATAGTCTTTGGTAATTCCTTGGTAACCTTCATATTATAGTGTCTTTCTTTCTTTCTTTCTTTCTTTTCATTATAATAATCATTCTGTCCAATAGTCTTTGGTAATTCTTGACCTTCATCTGTAGTCTTCTTCTCTTTCTTTCTTTCTTTTCTTTCATTATAATAATCATTCTGTCCAATAGTCTCTGGTAATTCATGGTAACCTCATATCTTAGTCTTTTCTTTCTTTCTTTCTTTTCTTTTATTATCATTCTGTCTTCTTTGGTAATTCTACATCATATATTTAGTCTTTTCTTTCTTTTTTCATTATAATAATCATTCTGTCCAATAGTCTTTGGTAATTTGGTAATTCTTATATAGTCTTGCATAACCTTTTCATTATAATAATCATTCTGTCCAATAGTCTTTGGTAATTCATGGTAACCTTCATATATTTTAGTCTTCTGTATCTCTTTCTTTTTCTTTCTTTCTTTCTTTTCTTTTCATTATCATTCTGTCAAATAACCTTCATGTCTTCTGCATCTTCTTTCTTTCTTTCTTTTCATTATAATAATCATTCTGTCCAATAGTCTTTGGTAATTCATGGTAACCTTCATATTATATAGTCTTCCATCTTTTCTTTCTTTCTTTCTTTTCATTATAATAATCATTCTGTCCAATAGTCTTTGGTAATTCATGGTAACCTTCATATATTATAGTCTTCTGCATCTCTTTCTTTCTTTCTTTTCTTTTTTTATAATAATCATTCTGTCCAATAGTCTTTGGTAATTCTTGGTAACCTTCATATATTATAGTCTTCTACATCTCTTTCTTTCTTTCTTTCTTTCTTTTCTCCTTCTGTCAATTCTTTGGTAAATTTTTCTTTCTTTTCTTTCTTTTCTTTCATTATAATAATCATTCTGTCCAATAGTCTTTGGTATTCATTAACCTTCATATATTATAGTTTTCTGCAATTTTCCTTCATTCTGTCCAATAGTCTTTTGGTAATTCATTAACCTTCATTCTCTTCTTTCTTTCTTTTTTCATTATAATAATCATTCTGTCCAATAGTTTCTTCTCTCCTTTCTTTTTTCTTTCTTTCTTTTTCATTATAATAATCATTCTGTCCAATAGTCTTTGGTAATTCATGGTAACCTTCATATATTATAGTCTTCTGCATCTCTTTCTTTCTTTCTTTCTTTTCATTATAATAATCATTCTGTCCAATAGTCTTTGGTAATTCATGGTAACCTTCATATAGTCTTTATAGTCTTCTAATCATTCTGTCTCTTTCTTTCATATATTATAGTCTTCTTTCTTTTCTTTCTTTCTTTTCTTTTCAATAGTCTTTAGTCATTTGGTAATTATTATAGTCTTCTGCATCTCTTTCTTTCTAACTTTCTTTCATTATAATCATTTCTGTCTTTTCTTTCACCTTCATATTTATAGTCTTTCTCTTTCTTTTCTTTCTTTCTTTCTTTCTTTTCATTATAATAATCATTCTGTCCAATAGTCTTTGGTAATTCATGGTAACCTTCATATATTATAGTCTTCTACATCTCTTTCTTTCTCTCTTTCTTTCTTTCTTTCTTTCTTTTCATTATAATAATCATTCTGTCCAATAGTCTTTGGTAATTCATGGTAACCTTCATATATTATAGTCTTCTGCATCTCTTTCTTTCTTTCTTTCTTTTCATTATAATAATCATTCTGTCCAATAGTCTTTGGTAATTCATGGTAACCTTCATATATTATAGTCTTCTTCATCTCTTTCTTTCTTTCTTTCTTTTTCATTATTAATCATTCTTCATAGTCTTTCTTTCTTTTTCATATAATAATCATTCTGTCCAATAGTCTTTGGTAATTCATGGTAATCTTCATATATTATAGTCTTTCATCTCTTTCTTTCTTTCTTTCTTCTTTCTTTTTTCATTATAATAATCATTCTGTCCAATAGTCTTTTTGTAATTCATGGTAATCCTTCATATATTATAGTCTTCTGCATCTCTTTTCTTTCTTTCTTTCTTTCTTTTCATTATAATAATCATTCTGTCCAATAGTCTTTTGGTAATTCATGGTAACCTTCATATATTATAGTCTTCATCTCTTTCTTTCTTTCATTCTTTCTTTCTTTTCATTATAATAATCATTCTGTCCAATAGTCTTTGGTAATTCATGGTAACCTTCATATATTATAGTCTTCTACATCTCTTTCTTTCTTTCTTTCTTTCTTTCTTTTCATTATAATAATCATTCTGTCCAATAGTCTTTGGTAATTCATGGTAACCTTCATATATTATAGTCTTCTACATCTCTTTCTTTCTTTCTTTCTTTTCATTATAATAATCATTCTGTCCAATAGTCTTTGGTAATTCATGGTAACCTTCATATATTATAGACTTCTACATCTCTTTCTTTCATTCTTTCTTTCTTTTCATTATAATAATCATTCTGTCCAATAGTCTTTGGTAATTCATGGTAACCTTCATATATTATAGTCTCTTTCTTTCTTTCTTTCTTTCTTTTTCATTATAATAATCATTCTGTCCAATAGTCTTTGGTAATTCATGGTAACCTTCATATATTATAGTCTTCTGCATCTCTCTTTCTTTTCTTTCTTTCTTTCTTTTCATTATAATAATCATTCTGTCCAATAGTCTTTGGTAATTCTTTAACCTTCATATATTATAGTCTTCTGCATCTCTTTCTTTCTTTCTTTCTTTTCATTATAATAATCATTCTGTCCAATAGTCTTTGGTAATTCATGGTAACCTTCATATATTATAGTCTTCTGCATCTCTTTCTTTCTTTCTTTCTTTCTTTTCATTATAATAATCATTCTGTCCAATAGTCTTTGGTAATTCATGGTAACCTTCATATATTATAGTCTTCTGCATCTCTTTCTTTCTTTCTTTCTTTCTTTTCATTATAATAATCATTCTGTCCAATAGTCTTTGGTAATTCATGCTAACCTTCATTTGTTATAGTCTTCTGCATCTCTTTCTTTCTTTCTTTCTTTCTTTCTTTCTTTCTTTCTTTTCATTATAATAATCATTCTGTCCAATAGTCTTTGGTAATTCATGGTAACCTTCATATATTAAAGTCTTCTGCATCTCTTTCTTTCTTTCTTTTCATTATAATAATCATTCTGTCCAATAGTCTTTGGTAATTCATGGTAACCTTCATATATTATAGTCTTCTACATCTCTTTCTTTCTTTCTTTCTTTCTTTTCTTTCTTTTCATTCTATCAAAGTCTTTGGTAATTCATTTCTAACCTTCATATATTATAGTCTTCTGTATCTTGAATTTCTTTCTTTCTTTCTTTCTTTCTTTCTTTCTTTCTTTCTTTCTTTTCATTATAATAATCATTCTATCCAAAAGTCTTTGGTAATTCATGCTAACCTTCATATATTATTGTCTTCTGTATCACTTGAATTTTTTTATTTGTTGTTTCTTTCTTTCCTCTACATTCCAAACAATCTGCTCACTGTGTCCATATCTATCTAGCTATCTACACATCTGTCTCCCTGTCTATCTTGGTGTGTTAAGATTTATCTGTCTATCTATTTATCTATCACTGTGTTCATATCTATCTATCTATCTATCTATCTATCTATCTGTGTTCATTATCTATCTATATGTCTGTCTATCTATCTTCCTGTCTGTCTGTCTCTATCTCAATGTGTTAAGATTTATCTATCTATTTATCTATCTGTGTCTTCATATCTATCTATCTATCTATCTATCTATCTATCTATCTATCTATCTATCTATCTATCTATCTATCAATCTGCCTGTTTGTCTGTCTCAGTGTGTTTAGATCTATCTATGTATCTATTTGTAAAGTAATTATTTAATGAAAGTTCAACAGTTTTAGTCATGTTTTGAACTAAGCAAGACTCTGTAAATGTATACCTATGCACAAATCCTGTAAAAATCTATTCTTAGTTTTTACCTACTTTTACTATTTCAATTAGAGATTTATTAATTATTTCACTGTACAAAACAATCCTGTGATAGAAATCTTTCAATAACGGAAGCAGGTTTATATTTGTAACATTTTTTTCAAAGCGGAAATTACTAGAAGCAGTAAAACATCAAATCATCCGAAACAATACTATATAATAAACATAAACAGCCACTATCGAGAAATAGTCAATATATAACAAATTAAATACAAATGAATAATACACAGTTATAATATTATAAATTATTCTAAAGCAACGAAGAAAGAAATTTGGAACTGTTATCTTTCTTAAGATCTCGTGGCATGAATGTTAGTAAATCTTCTACGTTTTCAATGGTTCGTTCATTGCGACCTTTAAAAATTACTGATAATCAATAAAACTTGCAAATGAGATGATAAAACCTTTTCGTTAGACTAACCGGTCTGTTGCCAAATTCAAGACAAATAGGAAAACACAGAAGCTGTCAATAAAGAAAAAAGGAATTTCTTAAAGTTCTACAGAGAGCGAGCAAGAGAGAATAATAAGGGGAGATAATCAGCATTCAACTTATGACCTGAGTACCTGCACAAACTTTTAACACAGATGTTTATATTTTTTAAAGAAAGGTAAAAAATATACTAGTTGAATATTTTCCAGATGGAAATCAAAAAACTTATGAAGTTTATTCGATGGAAGTAGGGCGAGCATAAAATTTTTCTGCACCCCCTCATGTAATTCCAGTTATGCGTACCTCATGCCATTTATTAACTAATAAATGTATATAAGAAATATGTAAACACATTTATGTTAAATGCATACTGATTATACAATTACCGCTCTATAACGTAGATTCACTTGCTGTTTTTCCATTTTAGCTATGCTTATATTCTTCTTCTATTCATCATGTCGTAACTGATCATGACTCTCCACAGCTTCATATCCTCCCTGATCCTTGGCAGTGTTTCTCCATTTGCCATCTGCCAAGCTTACCGCCCACCGTTCTGCCTTCCATCAACATGGCTGATGCTAACCTCCATGACAGTGACTCTTTGCGCCTTCTTGTGCACACATTCTCAGCTGACATGAAGTGAGCATAGTATATTGAATCCATTACTAGGTCAGCTGCTAAAAAAGTTGGTTCACTGTGTCGTTCAAGACAATTTTTCTTTCCAGAATCTATCTTAATATTCTATAATTCTACCATTCGTTCAAGCTTAGAATAAATCTGAAAAAGAATCATCAATATTATTGGTCCTGATTTGACATCTCGGCTTCAGTACCTTTCCCACTACCCTAAGGTTGCCTCCTTCTGCCTCTATTATAAATACTTTCATGATAATTTCTCGGGTGAGCACCTTACTATGGTACCTAGACTTTTTTAATTTAAGCACAGTACTAGATTGACATCGAGAGCTCATCAATTTACATTTGAGTTGATTAGATGTAACCATAAATTCTATGATAACAGTTTCTTTTGTCACACTTCTCACTTACGGAACTTTCTTCCAGCTTCATGCTTTCCAGTTAACGTTAATTTGCAAAAAATTAAATGCAAGTCCGTCACTTTATCTACAGTTTAACCCTAACCCTAACCCTAACCCTAACCCCTGCCTGATTACACTTCCTCTGTTCTCGCTCCTTAGTAAAGTTTCTGTTTTTAATTCTTCCAGTAACCCCTTGTGTCCTAGTGACTTTAAATATTGTCAACATAGAAATCAGCAATGGTGGCAACTGAAGGCATGAACCTGAAAATCATTAAGCGGTGTTAATTTCTATGGCGACACTGTTGTTCATATATATATATATATATATTTATATATATATACATATACATATATATATGTGTGTGTGTGTGTGTGTGCGCGCGCGTGTGTGTGTGTGTGTGTAATGAGAGAAAGAGAGAGGCACTTACCATCACCTGAAGAGGTAAAACATAATGTCGAAACTCGAAAGCTATTGTGTAGTGATTTTAAATGTTTTGGTTATATATATATATATATTTATATATATATATATATATATATATACAAATATATGATTGGTGTATACGGAATAAATTCCAATAACCAACAATTACTATTCTTAAAAGAGTGCTCAATACAGAGTAGAACAGATACAATTATTTATTTAAAAATTATAACAGAAATATGTTATAAAATCACTACAAAAATTGCCATTTTGTTTCCAACACCTCCGGTGTCTTATAATGTTATAATTTTTAAATAAATAATTATATATATATATATATATATATATATATATATATATATATATATATATATAAAGAATTAATCCGTATTTATTTCGTTTACAGGCCTGCACTCTCGAAAATATATTAAAGAAAATGTGCCCTTCGAGAGGATTTGAATCTGCATCCCCTCACACACACACCACCACCACCAACAACAACACATATTGGAGATTGATGATATGCCTTTTGAGAATACACGAACACATAAGTGTGCTTTAATTGCAAACAGAACTTTGCTTCATTTTGAAGCTCTTCGTGGCCGAGCGGTTAAAGCACGACGGATAAGACAGTTGTTTCTCCTGAAAAAGGGGGTGTATGTTCAAATTCTACCAAAGGGTACATTTTCTGACAAGGTCTGTTTGTTTATTTTTTTTATTGTATTTTTCTAATTTTCGAATAATATGTTGTACATCCAAATCAAACCTTTGTATAAACATGACTGTTTTTTTTTTATTCTGTTTTTGTCCGAATACTTTCGACTGTCTCAGTTATTGTCAAGTTGTTAGCATGGAAGACAAGATTTTCTTGGCTACACCCTGTCATCTATTTTCTTTTGGAAAGCTACAATTTAAATTTACATACATATATACATGGTGATTTTCACATCTTACTCAGATGAGAGCTCCTCACCCCTTTCATCAGTTGTAATGGATTCTGTCTCATTTCAAAATCCACGATCTCTAAGATGACTATGTTGGATTGAGATTTTGAAACATCAGTCAGAATCCAGGATATGATGACAGAATATTCTGAAAAAAATGAGATAAGATGCTAAGACATCTGCACATTATTAGATTATATTGACAAACGCCTGTACAACTCAGCTGGCATTCTATAGATAGCTAAATACATGCAGATATATATATATATATATATATGTGTGTGTGTGTGTGTGTGCGCGCGCGTGAGAGAGAGAGAGAGTGTGTGTGTGTGTGTGTGTGTGTGCAGCATATTCTCTTTTAGGCATGTCTGATTGAATAAATTGAAGACATTATGTCGGTTAATTTTTAACAAAATCCGTTCATACTCACGAATAACCTTCCATATATTGATGTTAAAGGTTGAGAGAAATGTGCTATAGCTGTTTAAATTTATTTTATTTTCATTTCCCAAGTACTTTTGATCATCTTCCAAGATCATCTTCAGGGGTGCAAGTAGTACAAAACTATATGTCGTTTATTAGTACATTTATAAAAGCTGTGCGTCGTTATCCATTACCGTAATTTCTTCATTACGCTTTTAAATGCAAAATGGTTGACAATGTGCTGAGCGTTCATTAGAACGTGAAAAAATTATCCATTATGGAATTTTTTCATGTTATAATGTCATGGTTATGCGCGGATTAAAGCACGAAAAAACTGTTCCTTTACAGGCATTTCAGAACATTACTGCAGTATCCATAGTTGATTCTGCTCAGTGTCGGCTTTAATTTGTTTAGTATAAATTGCTTCTAGTACCTGTAAACTGAATTAGCTGTTTTCATAGTGTAGGAGATAGATAGATAGATAGATAGATAGAGAGAGAGAGAGAGAGAGAGAGAGAGAGGGAGAGATGAAGTGTCTGATAGATAGACAGATGAAGAGTAGTGTTAGATAGATAGATAGATAGATAGATAGATAGATAGATAGATAGATAGATAGATAGATAGATATGTGTGTGTGTATGTGTGAATAAAAATAAAAGGAAAACTTTCGTCTCCTGATAGACTTTATTAAGGCAAATGTAAGGATTTAATTTTGTATCAGATATTTATAAACAGAAGTAAAAAATTTATAAATTTAAGAACGCGTCAGGCTAACTGAAAGTCAAGATAAACTATGTCAGATGCTAAATCACGTAATTAAATGTCTAATAAACGAAAGTGAGTAAGTATTTTTTCATAATGTAATTATTATTTTACTTTGAGATTAATTTATGTATTATATATATATATTAAATAATAGGTTTTAAATTTAACCGTTTTTTTTTCATTTAATTTTTTTTATAGTCATGCATATTGGCTTGAGAAGGAAGTATTTCTTTTAGGAAAGGAGATATTTGAAAAACATCCAATAATTTTTCCGCCTAAAAAAGTTACTTTCTCTTTTAATAAGTGTGGAATGCTTTATATCAAAGTTGGGTTTAAATTTATTTAATGCAGATGATTAGTGCAATTGATAAATTGTTGCATTTACCTTCATAAAGTCTATCAGAGGATGTAACCAGTCGGTTAATCTTTTTTTTTCTTTTTCTTTTTTTTGTTGCTGTTGTTGTTGTTCATATGATCTTTTGCAGATAGTTTTTGCTATATATCTAACTGGGTGTTTTTAACACACACACACACACACACACACACACACACACACACACACACATATATATATATATATATATATATATATATATATATATATGCGTGTGTGCGTGTCTACCGGCTTGTTCATTCGAGAATCTTAATAAAATCAGTTAGAGAAAACAACCGCTATGTCTGTATGTATGTATGTACGTATCAGCTATGTGCCATGCATGATACATGCTTAGGTGATCATGTATCTTTCGATACCTGTCTGACGAGGCAGATTTTTTCCAGCAGTAGGTTGCCATTTCTTTCTGAAGTAGACCAGTTGCCATCCAAGGCTATAGAACCCGGCCTGTCCTGCTATTTACCCATA